TGGGTCTTCTGGGGCCATATGAGAACAGAGGGTGCACGGTCTCTTCCTGCCCGGAAGCTTATTCAGTCTGGAGCGTCCATGGCTAAAGGACAGGTTTTATCACTGACCAACGTTTTGTTTCGTTTTAAAGTTTAATTGCTGATCTCTTGCCAGCTTTTATGCCGCAGCTGCTGGACTGGTGTCTCAGATTTCAAAAACATCAGTTTCATAATGTCGGAATGGTTTGATTTCATGGGGATGAGCCATCTTGCGCACCATTTCTACGACAGAAAGCTGGGGTAGAAATATTCAAAATAAATAATCAGGAGTCCCGTGGCACCTTCGGGACTGACGGAATGCACAAATGCATTTCCAGCATCAGCTTTTGTGAGTTAGCGCCACTTCGTCAGGTACAGGAAGGTGGATGAAGCGTACATCCATTAGGGTGATCTTTTTATCTCAACAACAGAAAGGCTGTGGGTGACGAGGGGAGATGCTACAAAGCTATGCTGGTTTCAAACATGCCGAAATATAACCAATATTGGTGAGAGCCACTCCCAGCTGTGATCGGACAGGCAAAGTAGTATTAAACATAAAATGTCATTTAGGAAAGTGCAGGCTGAAGCCAGAGGCGGAGAGGCATTGACAGAGGTGGAGCTGAACTAATCAATATACACAATGTCCTCATTCACTATAATTGATCATTGTGTGCCATCCAATCGCAATTGACTCATGGGGACCCCCCATGGAGTTTTCAAGGCAAGTGATCAGCAGAGGTGGTCTGCCAATTGCCTTCCTCTGCAGAGTCTTCCTTGGTGGTCTTTCATCCGAGTACTGACAGCAGCTGACCCGGCTTAGCTTCCAAGCACTGATTGGGCTATCCAGGGCTGTGCTGCTATCTTGTATATACCTCCTCCTTACTGATATTCCCCGGTTCCGCTCTGCTCTGTAACTTCCTCTTGTTTCTGTTTATTTTGGAGTAAACTTATATTACTCTTGTTTTGCCTAACTACAGTTGGATGCAGAGTCAACTGAGTAGAGTTTGCATTGGGTCTTGTTTTAAACCAGTTCTCTCTGGGTAATGCGCCACCCTAGCTTTTCTGCTGTGTATATAAACAGAACAGCCTAAAGGGTGTCTACTCCCATGCATCTGAGGAAGGGAGTTGTGAACCGCAAAAAGCTTCTGCGGAAATATACGTTGTTAGTCTAGAAAGGTGCCATGGATGGGACTGTTGTTTTATTTTGCCGATGCAAACACCTGGGATTAAAATTTAAAAATGGATGTATTGGATTGGGAGGGTAGTTCAGTGCAATTTCAGTGCATAACCATAACTTCCTCCCCCAGTAAAATTTCTGAATATAGTGCTGAAATTGAGTTGACTGTTAATTGTGGTCCCTCGACTTAAAAAAAAGTCACCCAAAGAGTGATTAACACTTGGAATTCACTGCCACAGGAAGTGGTGGTGGCTACAAGCATGGACGGCTTCAAAAGGGAATTAGATAAGCATATGGAGCAGAGGTACATCAGTGGCTATTAGCCACAAGGTATAGATAGGGACTCTGGGGCAAGTGATGCTCTGTCATCTTGGTGCTTGGGGGGTCAACAGTGGGAGGGCTTCTAATGTCCTGGCCCCACTGGTGGACCTCCTGATGGCACTGGTATTTCTGGCCACTGTGTGATACAGAGTGTTGGACTGGACGGGCCTTTGGTCTGATCCAACATTGGCATCTCTTATGTTCTTATGTCCTTATGTTCTTTCTTTTTTAAAAAAGGGAGGGAATAAGAAGGGGGGAAACTAAAAATCCAGTAACTAAATTTTAAAAAAGGAAAAAAGTCTATATAAAACAGAGATAAAAATATAACAGAAGTGGGGACAGATCCACACACACGTTTCTATAAAAGGTTTCTGAATATCTAACAATGAGTCCATATGCAGTTGTTGTCTGTAAGCCATGCATACAGTTCTAAAGTCCTTGATCCTTTGATTTACCGGAGGGGGGCATTTATCTCGCCAATGTTGTGTCTTTTAGCTGTAGTGAGGGCACAGAGGGTCCATTTTCATTGGTGTCGCCTCTAGACTAGACAGAAGCAGCAACTAACAGTGTGATTTTAAGCTGAGGTACATCCTTCTTCTCCTGCCAACCTAGCAGTTCGAAAGCAAGAAATTGCAAGTAGATAAATAGGTACCACTTTGGTGGGAAGGGAACAGCGTTCCATGCACCTTGGTGTTTAGTCATGCCAGCCACATGACCACGGAAACGTCTTCGGACAGCGCTGGCTCTTCGGCTTTGAAACGGAGATGAGCACCGCAACCCTAGAGTCGGATTTGACTGGCTTTCGAGCAAGGGAACCTTTACCTTTACCTTTTTACATCCTTCTTGGCCCCATTGACTTCCATGGACGTAAAAGGGTGTTACTCTGATTAAATATAAAAATAAAAATAAAAAAAAATTTCCATTACAAATCATCTCTTTTGCATTCAATTTTTACTCTGTTGAGGATTCCACTGTTAGGGTTAATATTGTAGCTTGCTTGTGTTTTAATTATTTTTATGCTTTATAATGCAGTTATAAATCTATGAAAGTTCTTCACCGTTTCATTACCCATTCCATGACAATAACCCTGTAAGACAAGCCAACGTCAGTTGCCTTTTTCAAAGGGTATTTGTCCCAAATTCTATGCAAGACCATATTTGTTTCACCCCTGTGACTTACCCAGAAATGATTACATAAAGAAAAACAAGCAGACGTGCGTACCTGACCCTTTGATGCACTGCAGAATTTGGCTTTTCTTGGCGCAAGATTTAAAAAAAAAATACCCAAAGGGGCGAGTGACTGCCGTCAGAACCAGGTTCAGATACACAAGGATGACTGACTGACGGGAGAGGAGGTCCCAAATCATGGGAGTTTTTGTAATAATGAAGGAGGCCCATTGCTGGAAGGAGAAAGGGCAAGCTCAGTGAAAGCAAACCTGAGGCCTGGGTTCAGGGCAGGGAGGATTCAAAGGACGGAGAGGTGTGAGAGACTGCATGCCAGTTATTGCTAACCCTGCACGTGATTGTACGCTACATGCTAGGAAAGCTTCAGAATCACAAAGACACAGGATTCGTATGTATCCTGCCCTGCCACCAAAGAGTTCAGGGTAGTTTACACAATTCTCCCCTTCTCAACTTAGTTCTCACAACAGTCCTGTGAGGCAAGTTAGATGAACCATGAACTGAACCACTTTTTCCTGGTTTGTACGCATCCCTACATATTACCATCATTAACAAATAATTCCTTTCCTGGTTTAGATGTCACGCTACTCCTAGTCATGTGAGAGCAGGCAGCTACCAGTTGTCTTGATGGTGGCCATAGCATCCATCCTCCAACTAAAACTTGAGATGCAATTCCATAATGTAGTGCTGAGAGAACTCTGACACAAACTGCTCTTTCAGGAACAGCTGTGCCAGAGCTTGTGACTGACCCAAGGTCACATCAGCAGGTGCAAGTGGAGGAGTGGGGAATCAAACCCGGTTCTCCCAGATTAGAGTCCGCACACTTAACCACTACACCAAACCCTCTAAGCAATGCTCCCTCTAAGCTGTGGAGTCTTGAGAGCAAAAATCCTGCTTTGTGAGCTACTGGCATCAAAGTTGTGAGTGAGCAATTTGGCTGCTGCATAAATTAGTTTGCTCTGGAGCCCTCCTTTCTGAGCTAAGACAAAAGTGTGTGAGCTGGAGGCTAAAGTACTATGAGCTAGCTCACACTAACTCAGCTTAGAGGGAACACTGGAGAGAAGCCCCAAATAATAAAATGAGCTCCATGGTTGAGACACCCAGATCTGAAACTCTAGTTCAGAGGTGTCACTCATCTGTGTTGAGGGCCAGATCTGACATAAATGTCACTTTGTCAGGCTGGGCCATGTGTGCCATAAAATGTAATGCCAGGTACCATAGTACAAGAGATAGAAACTATGTAAAGGACAGCAACTAGTAAGCTCCGAGTTGGTATCTCCTCACTGCAAGGCCCCATGGACTGGATGGGGGGGTGCAGAGAAAAACTCACATAGAAAGGGGGAGGGAAAATTGGTTTTATTGTATTGTTTTAATATTGTATTTATTGCCTGAGTTATTTTAAGATTGTTTTAAATTCATTGTTGTGAGCCGCCCTGACCCCACTTGCAGAAAAGGCAGGATATAAATCGAAATAATAGACAGACAGACAGACAGACCGACAGACAGGAGAGGCAGCAGTGCAGCGCTGGGCAGCTGCTCCCACAATGCTTCTGCCGCAGACGAGGTTGTTCTGCCGTGCTGAAGCCACAATGGAGTGGCTCCGCCCACTCCCCCCAGCACTGCCTCCCTTATATCTGTTGCTCGCAGGCTGCATAAGAGCCCTGGATGGGCTGGTTCCGGCCCCCGGCCCTTATGTTTGACACCCCTGCTCTAGTTGCTACTCTGCACTTGAACCGGAAACTCCATGCCTGATGTTGGAACCATGGATAGGGACATTTCCCTCCAGGGGGGGGGGGGGGGGGCTTTATACATTCTTCAGGGAACGGGACAGGGATGTGCTGCATCAGCCCCTGGACTGTCAAGCAGGAGGGAGCCTGGTGGCAGGACCGGGAAGGTGGCTGTCTGCCCTTTCCCACCAAGAGCCAGTTTGGTGTAGTGGTTAAGTGTGCAGACTCTAGTCTGGGAGAACCGGGTTCGATTCCCCGCTCCTCCACTTGCAGCTGCTGGATGACCTTGGGCAAGCCATAGTTCTGTCAGAGCTGTCTTTGAAAAAGAGCAGTTTCTGTCAGAGCTCTTTCAGCCCCACCTACCTCACAGGGTGTCTGTTGTGGGGAGGGGAAGGGAAAGGAATTCGTAAGCCGCTCTGAGACACCTTTGGGTAGTGAAGAGCGGGGTATAAATCCAATCTCTTATTCTTCTTCTTCATTGTGCCTTCAGCATCCCCCAGCCCAAGTGTCCCAAACAGGAAGTGTCAAGCAGCACCGCTATAAGATGGTCCCATCTCTCTCTCTCCCTTTCTTCCAGTCTAGGAACAGTGGCCAGCAGGGGGATATGGATGGGGCACACAGGCTCGGACGCGTGGCCAGATATCTCAGCATCCTTTCCATGTTTCTGGGCGCCATCATCATCCTCTTCTGCTCCTTGAAAATTGCAGGTAAGTGCCAAAGCAAAAAATCCTTTGCAGGTGTTTTGTGTGTGTGTGTGGGGGGGAAACTTACAGGGCTTTTTATTCGCTCCTGACTACCATGGGATATTCTTTCCCTCTCATTTTGGAAGCTGGTTTTGAGTAAGAATTATCTGCATTCAGCAGGGGAAACTACCCCTTGAGAACCAGTTTGGTGTAGTGGTTAGGAGCGCAGACTCTAATCTGGGAAAACCGGGTTTGACTCCCCACTCCTCCACTTGCACCTGCTGGATGACCTTGGGTCAGCCATAAGTTCTTTCAGCACTGTTCTCTCAAGGGCAGTCCTCGAAAGAGCTCTCTCTCAGCCCCACCAACCTTACAGGGTGTCTGTTGTGGGGAAGGGAAAGGAAAGGAGATTGTAAGCCGCTCTGAGACGCCTTCGGATAGTGAAGGGTGGGGTATAAATCCAATCTCTTCTCCCTTTTTCACTCTTTGTGTTTCTGCTTGGGTCACTATTCTGGGTGTGCCTTTGGTTTGAATAAGGCAAGCTAAAGCAGCAGTTCATGCAGAGAGACAACGATCAGTATCCTGATGAACAATTTTATAAACACTGATTATGTCTGTTCCCACTCCTCCAGTCATCTTTTCTCTAAATGGAAGTGCTCCAAACTCCTTAAAAGCCTTTCTTCAAAGGGAAGGGGGGCCCAACTCCAACCCCTGTTGCATTTTGAGTGGCTCTACAATAGCCTTTCCAAGTGAGAGACGCTGGTGGCCCTCCTGATGGCACCTGGGTTTTGGCCACTGTGTGTGACACAGAATGTTGGACTGGGTGGGCCATTGGCCTGAACCAACATGGCTTCTCTCATATTCTTAACCGGAGCCAGGATGTGGCTGCATCATAGATCACAATGCGGGCCATTTGACTGTTAAGTCTCCTTCTGAATAAATACATCTCTAGCATCAGAGAGTCCATTTGGCTTCCTGCTTTCTTAAGAAGGACATGCCGTCCAGTTGCGACCAACTCATGGTGACCCAATCCATGCGGCGCTCCAGGCAAGAGAGGAGCAGAGGCAGTTTGCCAATGGCTTCCTCCGCACAGCAACCTGTCTTCCTTGGTGGTCTCCCAGACATGACCGCAGCCATCCCTGCCTAGCTTCCTAGCTCTGACTTTCCTGCTTCCTTAACCAGCTTCTAATGGCTAAGGCGATTCATCCTTTCCCCGCGTGACCCCCGAGTTTCTTCTGGAACTTTATGGGAAGCAGCCAAAGGCTTTCCTGGCACAGGCTTGGCTTGCCAGGCTGCTTCTCCACATTCTTGGACTGAGATCCACTCACAAGGAACATACCTGGGATAGTCGTTCACCTCATACTCACCTTTGAGAGTTGTGATGCTTGCTGTCTTTTAGTCATGGCTGGTGCCAGCAGCAATTTTTTTTCCCTTGCATTATCTGCATCTGTGATTCAGAAGCCAAGAGAGTTTGGTCCCTCCCTGCCCCTATGAATTTTTATCATCTAAAATGTGTTGACTCATAGTTGTGAGCAGTGTTCCCTCTAAGCTGAGTTAGTGTGACCTAGCTCACAGGTTTTTAGTCTCTGGCTCACACATTTTTTGTCTTAGCCCAGGAAGGACGGCTCCAGAGCAAACTGATCTATGCAGTAGCCAAATTACTTGCTCACAACTTTAATGCCGGTTGCTCACAGAGTAGAATTTTTGCTCACAGGACTCCACAGCTTAGAGGGAACATTGGTTGTGAGTATTGGTAACATCTATTGATAGGGATATGATTAAAATGCGGAGTTTGCTGCCAGAGGATGGAGTGATGGCCACAGGCATAGACAGCTTTAAAAAGATATTAGACAGATTCATGGAGAAGAGATTGGATTGATACCCCGCCCATCACTACCCAAGGGAGTCTCAGAGTGGCTTACAAACTCCTTTCCCTTCCCCTCCCCTCAACAGACACCCTGTGTGGTAGGTGGGGTGGAGAGAGCAGCTCTGAGAGAAACTTGCCCAAGGTCTTCCAGCAGGTGCAAGTGGAGGAGTGGGGAATCAAACCCGGTTCTCCCAGAGAAGAGTCCGTGCACTTAACCACGACACCAGTGGCTACTAGCAATGATTACTGAGGGGAACCTCCACATTCAGAGGCACTAATCCTCTGAATCCCAGAGCCAGGAGGCAACATCAGGGGAAGGCCTCCGCCTCTCTGCCCTGTTGTTCGCCCTCCAGAGGAACTGTTTGACCCACTGTGTGAGACAGGATGCTGGACCAGATGGACCACTGGTCTGATCCAGCAGGGCTCTCCTTATGTTCTTGCTATGTTACTGGATGTGGCAAAACTTGATCCCATTGCTGATGTGTTTCCCCTGCTTGGAACAAAATGGCAATCCTTTCTATCCTGACCCCCAGTGATAAAACCTGATAGAAACATACTTGTTAAAACTGACCTGTTTCGCGGCATAAAAGTGGAGTAGAAATGGCATAAGAGGAACAAGCGTATTGGCAAAAAGACCACTTCGGTCTCCCACAATGGTTGTTGATTTGCTTTCCCTTGGCCTCTGTTTTCCAGGTGTCCTGGGATCCGACTAGCACAAGCAAGATCCAGTAGGAAGGACTTGGTGGGTCTTCCGGTTCTGAGCAGCAGTAGAGGAAGTGACTTTTTAGTGGGAGAGGCCCGGGAGCCGTCTCCACCCAAAAAGGAGCGCATGCATCATATCCCATAGCTGTTCGGAGCACAAGTTTGTATTTCTTTGGAGAATGGATGGACAGAGAGGCCTACCGCAACAGACTGGGAAAAGTCTCTGCCGTTCCTGCACAGGGATTGTCTACTTTGCCTTCCACCACCGACACAGAGGAGGATGAAACCGAGGCAGGCAGGAGGAATACTGCTGGAATGAAGCCCCTTTGTTGCAAAGGGAGGAAAACGGCCCGAATTTTGGTGTGAGCTCTAAGGTGACAGATTACCGGGCGAGCCGGAGACCCAACAACTAAGCACGAGAGCAGCCGCAGTGGTGTGTCCAAAGCACACGTCTCCTGGCAGTTCCAGTGCTGCACAAAACGTATGGGCTCAAGGGGGCCTTTTGTATTTTTGATGACAAAAAAAGCTGACCGCTTGCATGCCTGTAGGAGTATCCCTTTGGGACTCAATCCCTGGACTGTGTTTTTTGTTCTACAGCCACTTCTTGGGCTGGTTCTGCATGACGGACGCTGAGTTTTCACAAGAGATCCCGTTTCGCCCCATTTGGGAGAAAGAATGCCTTTGCCCTTCCTTTGGGACCCTGGCACTTAATTCCAATGGCAGCTCACGCAAAACAGCTGTTTGGGAGGGAAGGGCACTTTATGACCCAGCAGCAGCAGCAGCAGCAGCAGCAAGGGGGTGGCGGTGAGCACGGAGAGTCCCGATCCCTGGGACTCTGCAGAAGCGTCCCCTTCACCTCCAGAAGCCAGGAGGAGGCAGATGTCCTGATGTGGCTCTGCACCACTTCCCCCTTAAGCAACCCTACATGCCACTGGCAAAAACGTTAGCCTGAAATATGTGGCCTGGTGCATTTGGAATCTGCAAGTGCAAATGCATCTCCCACTTAATACATATCTGTTCGGATGTATGCCCTGCTCAAAGCACCCATAAGCATTCGTCTATAACGTCTGCTTTTAACAGCCACATCTCATAGGGCTCCAAAGGGCAACCACTCTACTAGTCTTCACGTGCCAAGGGGACGTCACCTGCCATTGACAAAGGCCAGGGCTATTTTTGGGCAGGAACGCACAGGATTGGAATTCCGGCTGGCTCCCAAGTTGGCCACACCCAGCAGGAACTCATTAGCATAACAGGCCACACCCAGCAGTAGAAACTCATTACAACTGGCTACATTAGGGGTGTGTGGCCTAACATGCAAAGGAGTTCCAAACCAGGTAAACAGAATAAGAAGCAAAAGGTGGGTGTGGCTGGATGACCACACTTCCGGTAACATGGGAATGCGGCCTAATATGCCAATGAGTGGTGCAATCAGGGGTGTGGCCTAATAGGCTAATGAGTTTCTGCTGCTGGGTGTGGCCTATTATGCTAATGAGTTCCTGCTGGACTTTTTCTACAAAAAAAGCCCTGGACAAAGCTACAACCGAAACTCTTCACACTTGCAAAGTGTTCCCTTGGAAGGGTCACAGTCCACATGCCCCCCCCCCAGCAATTAAACAACCCCCTTTTGGCTAATTGGGGCATCACAGCCTTTAGCTTTCCCAGTGCTGTGCTTCACTTGCCACTTGTCCGTGTGTGAAAGGAATTGTGTGCCCACTGGCTGGTTAACAATGGCGCTCAGAACACAAAGGGTTATTGCCTGCAGTGCTACAACTTCCAAAGGCAGGAAGGCTCAGGTTACACAATGTGCTGCCTGGGCTGCCTCCACCTACTATTTCCCTGGATCGAACTCTCAATTCAGCAGTTCCCCAGGTTTACACAAACACAATTATGCCGTGTAAAATATTATAATAAATACACTCATATAATTAAACAGTCTATAAAAGTGCTTTATCCTAAACATAATAACGAATATAAATATAGTGAAATATACGTATATTCCCAAAATATACGTATATAGTGAAATATACGTATATTCCCAAAAGTCCAAATTCGATCTCTAAGATGTCCATTCCAGGCGTTTGGAAAATACATGAATATCAGACATAGGAAAACTTTCCAAATAATTACCCAGCTGTGTGAGAGCGTTCACTTCCTCCCAACTTCATAAGGGTGATGAAGCTTGTAGCGAGTTAAGAATCCACACCCAATTAGGATCACCCTAATGAAGTTGGGAGGAAATAAACATTCTTACACAGCAGGATAATAATTTGGAAAGTTTTCCCATGTCTGATATTCATGTATTTTTCAAACATCTGGACATCTTAGAGATCACATTTTGACTTTTGGCTATATTTTTAGCTGTATATGTATCTCACTATATTTATATTTGTTGTTATATTTAGGATAAGGCACATTTATAGCCTGTGTTATGAGTGCATTTAATATCTTACGCGGCATAATTGTGTTTGGGTTTACAACTCATAGCCCTCTCCCCTGTTTACATAACCCCAGCTTTACACTGCAAGAGTGCTGTTTGTGTTCTGGGAAGGTTAAAAATTAAAGAGCCCGAAGTCGCCAGGAAGGAGTGTGTCCGCTGCCTCTCTGCAGGATTGCTTGCTCCAGCCTGATCTCTTTCCAGTCAGCCTTAGCGGGGCACAGTCAGTTCTGCCCCATCTCTGCGACTGGGTCAATCAGATTGCAGATCTTCGGCTCCCCCACGAGTGGGGTGGGACACAGCCAGCAGCCGACGAAAGCCAGTGCCAGAAGCACCTTCTAGTCCAGTGATGGCGAACCTTTTAGAGACCGAGTGCCCAAACTGCGACCCAAAACCCACTTATTTATCGCAAAGTGCCAACACGGCAATTTAACCTGAATACTGAGGTTGTACTTCAGAAAAAAAACAACTAATGTATTAACATAAGATGATCCAAACAAAGTAAGGAAAGCAATCCCAAATGCTTTCATTTACTTAAAATTATTTGGCAGAGAATTCCACACTTTAATGATGGTCTGGGCCTGGCTGGGGCGATGGCACACGTGCCCACAGAGAGGGCTCTGAGTGCCACCTCTGGCCCCCGTGCCATAGGTTCACCACCACTGTTCTAGCCATTAAGAAAGCAGATTATTTCTTTAAAGGCTGAGAGCTAGATGCACTTTTATACGACTCCACCTCAGTAGCATTCGTGCCTTGGTAAATTCGGACAGGGAATTCATCTCCAGTGGTATGCGCCGAACAGTCATTTTCAAGGGACGTTTGCCAAAATGACCAAGAGAGGGAGCAGTCCTGCATAGCACATTACCCTTCCTGGCCCAGGTAGAATGCCCTGCTCACTCTGCTCTCCACTGCCCACCCGCCCTACAGTGAAGGTAGGCCGACCCCACAGCGGTCTTCAGCCCCACCTGTGCATGGGCCGCATAGGAGCAATCCTAATCCCCATGCAGATATGGCCAGGCAATGCCTGTGCCTCTGTTGTATGTCAAATCCACATCACTAGATCGCCTCACAAAACCCTGAGAGAAAATTCACACACGGCCTCTTCTAAGAGTATGACCAGTATGTTGTCAAAGGCTTTCACAGCCAGAGTTCATTAGCTGTCGTAGATTTTCCGGGTTGTCCGGCCGTGGTCTTGGCCTTGTAGGACCTGACGTTTCGCCAGTAGCTGTGACTGGCATCCTCCGAGGTATAACACAGAAAGATGGAGTAACACAGAAAGAAGAGAGCCAGTTTGGTGTAGTGGTTAAGTGCGCAGACTCTAATCTGGGAGAACTGGGTTTGATTCCCCACTCCTCCACTTGCACCTGGCTGGATGCCCTTGGGCAAGCCATAACTCTGGCACAGCTGTTCTTGAAAAAGAGCAGTTTCTGTCAAGAGTTCTCTCAGCCCCACCCACCTCACAGGGTGTCTGTTGTGGGGAGGGGAAGGGAAAGGAGTTTGTAAGCCGCTCTGAGACACCTTTGTGTAGTGAAGGGCGGGGGATAAATCCAATCTCTTCTCTTCTTCTTCTACTCTCTGTGTCAAGGTTATTCCACTGTGTCCTTGACACAGAGAGTACTCCATCATTCTGTGTTATACCACTGAGGATGCCAGTCACAGCTATGGTGAAATGTCAGATCCTACAATGCCAAAACCAAGGCAATACAACCTGGGAAATCTACAACAGCTAGTATGACCAGTGTCTGGAAATCTACACATCACAAGCATGTAGGAGCCAGCTCTGGCGCTGGGGCCCTCCTGAGCAGGTGCTCTGTTCAAAACCTCTGCAAGACCCCAACTGGCCAGGCGAGAGAGGGCATCCAGCTCATGTTTTCGACCTGACTGGACAATTCATGTGCATGAGGAATCCCCACTTTCATTCCCTTAGCCTAGGGAGTAGAACCAATGCCCCCCTCTGCCATCTCTCCCTTTGTGTTGGGGCTCAGAACTGCACAAGGCAAACCTCCAGCAGTTTGGGGCTGGGGGGGGGGCTGGGATGGGGTCTTTCTCTTGAGCCAGCATTGCTCAGGACAGGGAAGAAACCATTTGTCTCACTCTGCCTTCCTTGAATGCTCTGGGGAGTTTCAGGGTGGGGCGGGCCCTCCTGTTTGGGATGGAACTTTCTCTTTTTAAACTTTTTCTGCAAGATGATGTATCATATATATTTTTCTTGGTATCTCTCGGCATGAGGAAATAAAAACAATAAAAATTTACCATGCATGGTCAAAAAAAAACCCTGGGCTCTGCTAGAGTCTGTCGCTGTGCCAGGAGAAATGAATGAATTAAACCATCGCCAAAGGCTCACATGCAGCCAAAGTGCACATTAGGAAAGGAGGCTGCCCACAGCATCTCTGTATGATTTACAGCTCTGGCCTTCCACTTGGCCTCCTCTGAAGGGTGGGTAAATAATTTTGTTGCATTGGGTATGACTGGATTGTTCAGTTGCTGCCACTGCAGTCACAGTGGAATAACAGACATCTGTTGTATCTCTGCAGGAGTTACTGTCTCCCTTCAGCCAAGAGACACAGCCAGATCAGC